TTTGAATTGAATGATCAATTATTAGACCCGGACGTCCCAACACTTGCTTCGCAAGACAAACTCAAGGTATCCCCTAAAGGGCTACCTTTCGTGACAAAAAAGATTATACCCGAAAAAGGTCCCCCCATCGCACCAAACCAAAAGTCGAATGGGGCTACTTTGCGACTCCCAAACACACACCAAGCGACCGGACGGCGGTAAGGGAGACGTCGGTCCCTCCTGCCTTCTCCATACGCACGAAGACCTCCGCCAGGCCCATGGCCGCACCGATCTGCTCCGAGGCGTCGCCCGCGCGGAGCTTCCCGAAAAGGAAAGGCCTGTCCAAGGCGTGTGGGTGGCAGGGGTACCGTGAGGCGGAGACTTTGGTGCTCTGGGAGAATGGTGCTCTGGGCGAGAAAGAATTGGACTTGGTGAGTGCTGGGAAGAACTCTGAAGTGCTGGAGGGCCACATGCCGTGCGAAAAAAAACATGTAAAAACTTGGTGAGGTGTCACTGGGGTGTTGTGTCCAACAACACTTAAAGGATATCTTCTATGAAGGGGTTGTCTCAGTCACTACAGTCACTGAGTCACACATGAGTTCAAGCCGCTTGGCCAAGGCCCACGCTGGCAGTGCGTCCTGGAATACTCAGGCATCACTTGCTCAAGGATTCCGTAGGCCTTGGCCACATGTCATTCTTGCGAGCGACCAGTAGTGCCTGTTTAGGGGCACAACTACCATCAAAAAAATAACACAAAGTGAAGATTAAAAGCAAGGATCCTGACATATATATATATATATTAATATATATCATTTTGTCCACCCGTGACATGTCGTGACCCCGGAGGGACCTTCGGCTTGAGGAAAGAAGAGCCCGCTCGGCGCCCCGCGGTTGGGGCGGACACTCCGCAATTGGTAGCGGAGCCCGGAAAGCCCGGGCTCCGAAGCCATGGCTTGTTGGTGATCCTGCGGTCAGGATCCGCACCCGTGACATGTCTGCTGCGGCCTCGGAGGCCGCCCCATTGCGCTTCTCCGGAGAGAATGAGGATGGAAGAGAATACAAGAGATGGAAGACTTGGGTAAAGAACAAGCTCTTGACCCTGGACAAGTTACCTGAAACTGCTCGAGGAGCCTATATATACACGTTGTTGGCTGGCAAGGCCTTGGAGGCTGTTGAACACCTGGATCCTGGCGACTATCAGAAGAAGGATGGCGACCAGGTCCTGTGGTCGTTGCTGGACAAAAGGTTTCCTCAGCTGGAAGTGGTCGATGAGCTTGGTGAAATCCTGGGCGAGGTTTTCAATCTTCGCTCCCAGGAGGGGGAAACGATGAAACAATGGGCTGCCAGAGCATCGGAGCTGTTCGACCGATGCCACAGGAAAACAGGAGTTCAGTTTCCTGACGAAGCCAGGGGCTGGCTTTTGTTGCACAGGGCCAACCTCAGCGAGGAGCAGAAGGCCGTGGTCATTTCGCGTGCCCGTGGAGATCTCAAACGGGAATCCATTGCAGCAGCTCTCCGATCATGCTACCCCGACCTTGTTGTTGGAAAACGGCGAACAGCCGTTGCATTGGCAGAAGAGACCATGGACGATCCGACCGAGCCCCACGATGCCTGGGAAGAAGATTTTTCAGACGTGGAGCGCCTGCTGGAAGACCATCAATCGTCCGCTGATTGGGCCGCTGACACGGAGGCCTACAATGAAGCTGAGGTGGCAGAAGTGTTGGCTGCCACATGGAAAGAGCGTCGACAAGAGCTCAACCGTCTCCAAAAGACAAGACAATTCCAGAAGTCCAAGGACGTGAAGAGAGCATTTCGTGTGGAAGTGGAAGAGATGAAGCGACACACTACCTGCAACCGCTGTGGCCGTCGAGGTCATTGGGCCCGTGAGTGTCGAGCAAAAGACACTCGCAAAGGCAGCAGCAAGGGATCCGACAAAGGTCCACCTGCATCAGGAGCTTCTCAACCTTCAGGTGCTGCAGTTGTGGAAGAGCTGGATTTCATTGCAGCGATCATGAATCGCCCGACCTTGTTGGAGCAAGCACGTATGCGGTTTTCCAAGGCTGCTGGTGAGTGGACCCCTGACGAGGTCATGCTGGTTTCCTCACCAGGATTTGGTGTGTTGGATTCGGGCTGTGGTAGGACAGTTGTTGGAGCTTCAACTTTACAGAGCTTTGAAAAGCTGTGGTCTCAGCGTGGCTGGACAGTGCCCTCCAAGATTTCCGAGGTGCACCAGTTCAAGTTCGGAAATGGTGATGTGGAGACCTCCCACTATTCCGTTCAGATGCCCGTCATCCTGGCTAATCGCCGAGGGGTGATCAGAGCTGCAGTGATCAAAGGTGACGCTCCTCTTCTGGTGAGTCGCAGTGCCTTGAAGTCCCTTGGCGCCTCACTGGATTTTCAGAAGGACTGTCTCAATGTTTTTGGTCAATCTGTTCCACTCAAGACAAATGGAGCAGGACAGTATGTGGTTGATTTGCTTTCCCCCAAAGACACTCTAGCAGCTGATTTCACGGAAGTCATGACCCTTGAGCCTCATCCTCATCCAGCGAACCGGTCGCCGGAAGCGCCCGAAGCAGACACACCCTTGACTCTCGAGCCATCTGCATCGCCTGCGGCGGATGAGAAGCCGCTAGCTGTTTGGACTCAGGAGAACAGTGATGTGATGGCAACTCCGTGGTTATCTCGTTCAGGGCCTGCATGGAAACAAGTGGTTCGTAGGAAAGTGATTGATTGTGAAACCAACCAAGTTCTTGACGACTCCCCAATCATTCCAGGGAACCCTCAACATCGCACCATCGTCCGCCTTCCTCGAAGAGTTGCTCATGTTCGGACCGAATTTTCATTTTTGGGTGAAACCATGTCCGTGTCCAATGAGTGGCAACCGACCGAGAGAGAGAGTCGACAGTTGGAAAGTCAAATCAAAACTTGTTTGGCCGTTCAGCAACACCCTCAAGATCGATGTCTTGTGATGGAAGTGTTTTCACCTCCACGTTTTTCGCTTGAAGCAGAGAAACATCACTTCCGAGCTCGATCGTATGATCTTAAGAACGGTTGGGATTTTCGCCTGGCTCAACACAGGAGAAAGGTGGAAGATGATCTCATCAACGACACGCCGTCGTTGCTCATTCTGTGCCCTCCGTGTACTCATGAAGGTGGTTGGTTCTGGTTGAATAGTCAGAAATGGGATCCTCACACAGTGTTGCGCATTAAGGCACAGAGCCGAAGCTTTATTCGATGGTGTTGCAAACTGTTCCGAATAGGTGTACAGTTGGGATGTAGGGTGGTGTTTGAGCGTCCGACAGGGGCAAGAACCTGGCACTACCCTGAGGTAGAAGGACTCTGCCGACGTTTTCACACAGTGAAGCTTCACATGTGCAGGTATGGTCTTCAATTGCCTGAGAGTGACCGGTACATCCGTAAGAGCACCCGTTTGTTGGTCTCTCATGAAGACATGTCCAGCCTGGGTCTCACATGTGACCAGACTGGAACGCATCAGTGTCATGATGTGATCGCCGGAAGTGCACCTGGTGTTCCTCGTATCAGTACATTTGCTGGTGCCTACCCCGTGAAATTTGTTCAAGCGGTGTTGAATACGATACCTCAGTTTCAGCTAGATCGATCCAAGGCCACCTCGTCATGTGAATGCATCGCTCATGTAGAAGTCATCAATGAAGAAGTCCCCGATGCGTCGTGGACAGAGATCCTAGCCGCTGGACAGGTCCGAGACCGCTCTGACAGTGATCTGATTCCGGTTTTGGATAAGCTTCATAGGAACTTAGGTCATCCACCAAATCACGATCTAGTCAGAATTCTTCGTCATGGACAGGCCAGTGAGCAAGCAATACGTTTGGCTAAGGAATTCTCGTGTGATTTGTGCCGGAGTCAGCTCAAACCAAAGGTGCCTCTGCCTGCGCAACCTCATCGGATCACAGAGTTCAACAGTCAAGTCGGTCTCGATGTTAAGCACTTAAAAGGTTGGTTACCTAACCAAAAGGTGAAGGCATTAAACATTGTCGATACTGCCAGCAGTTTTCAACGGGTGATTCCTTTCTTTGAAACAGAAACTGCAAGTGTTTTGAGGAAGTTGTTCACCGACAGTTGGATTTCGTGGGCTGGTGTTCCCAAAGAGATCGTTTTGGACCCTGCCAGAACAAACCTGGGAGATCCGATGGTAGTGCCTGCCGAGCTGGACGGTGTCCAGATCCGTCCGATTGCTGCTGGAGCCCACTGGCAATTGGGAAAGTGTGAAACTCATGGAGGCTGGTTCAACCGCGTTCTAGAGAAGTTGATTGACGAATTTTCTCCATCATCCAAAGAGGAATGGTTAGAATGTGTAGTGCGTGCACACATCAAGAACCAACAGTTGCAGGTACATGGTTTTTCACCATACCAATTCGTGTTTGGTCGCAATCCACATATTCCTCAGGACTTGCTGAATGAACCTCTCCAGGTCATCCCAGCAACAGCTTCCCTGACAGAAGCATCAATTGCCAGAGCTCAAGCTATTCGTACAGCTGCTCGTACGGCATTGGTTCAGATGCAAGACGATCGAGCCCTGCGGGTGGCTCTGCTGGCACGTCCCCGAGTGGAAATGACTTTCAATCCGGGTGATATGGTAGCCTATTGGCGAAACCAAAAGTGGGTTCAGGGTCAGCTCCAACAAGGGGGTCAGTGGTATGGAGTCGCCATCGTTCTCGGTCGAGTAGGTCGCAATGTCGTCATCATTCATCGACGACAAGTGCTGAGATGCGCTCCAGAGCAACTCCGTCTGGCTACTAATGAGGAGAAAACCCTGCTTGCATCGCCCCAAGCTGAATTGTTAGGTATCAAGGATTTGATTGATAGTGGTAACCTCCGAAGTAAACAGTATATAGACCTGTTGCCCCAATCTTATCCCCCACAAGAAGGACCAGTCGAGCCAGCTGTCGATATTCGTACCGAGCCGGAGTCAAGCACTGTGGTAGCGCCGTCTCAAGTGAATGCACCACTCGTGCCTGAGCCGATGTCCACTTCAGCTGTGCCAGAAGACTCTCAAGAAGAGCAAGTGAAGGGTGATCAAGAAATGACAGAGATGAAATCTCCGACACCAGTAGAGGAGACTTCTGACACTCCAAGTTCCGCCGAAACTGCGGCACCGTCGTCCTATGGTCCCATTCGCCGCCGAATCGAAGGGAAGGATGGACCAATGGCACTGTGGCGGCCTCCTGCCTTGAAGCAAACAGATTTTGTTGACATCATGAAGGAGATAGTACCCCAACTTGTTGAAGATGCATGTATGTCACAAAACAAAAGACCGGCATCTCCGTCCGCCGATGAACCAGTGTCGTCGAGGCCTCGCATGGCAGAAGTGTTGAGTGTTGAAGATGTTGATTTCCTCCTCCAAGCACAAAGTGTGTCGTGGGATTGCCTGATGGCAGAATATCTCAAAAAGAAAATGAGCAAGGAACTGCACCACAGCAACAATCCTCCCGACATTCAGGAAAAGGTCCAACTAGGCAAACGTGTGGAATGGGAAACGATTCTGTCCAAGCCTAATTCGGTAAAGATCCACTATGGAGCAAAAGCCGATCGCATTCGAAAAGAGGAAGACCATCGTTTCATAGGGAGTAGATTCGTGTTGACTCGAAAGCCGCTCGAAGAAGGTATGGATTTGGACCCAAATGACAGCACCACATTCACGGTAAAGGGCAGATGGTGTCTACAGGGGCACTTGGACCCGGATTTGTCTCAGAAGGCCGAACAGGGCCTGTTGAAGTCCCCTACCTTAAGTCAACTAGGCCGGATGTGTTTGTTTCAGACGATTGCATCAAAGGGCTGGGTACTTCAGTTAGGCGATATAAAAGGCGCGTTCCTAGAGGCAGGTCCACTGAACGATGCGTTTTGCCCACTCTACGCACGCCAACCACCTGGTGGCATCCCCGGCCTTCCTGAATCAGCAGTGATAGAAGTGCTCGGAAATATCTACGGACAGAACGACGCTCCGGCGTCCTGGTTCAAAGAATTTAGTTCGTATGTAAAGGGGTTGAACTGGTATCAGAGTGTTCTAGACCCGTGCCTGTTCACGCTTCGAGATGAAGCAGGAGCCTTGGTGGGGATCATGGGCGTGCACGTGGATGATACAGCAGTAGGTGGACATGGACCGGTTTTCGAGGCCTCAATCAAGAAACTTCGTACTAGATTCCCATATAGAAAATGGCGAATAAGCACAGGTGAGTTTTGTGGTGCCTGGTACTCCCAAACCAAAGATGGGGCAATTCGAATGGACATGAACGCTTTTGCCGACAAGATGCGATCAATCAATGTGCCAAAGAATAGTGCACCAGGTGATCCTTTGACCGACAGTCAAGTCAAAGTGCTGCGTGCCGTGAATGGCAGTCTCGGATGGTTGTCATCTCAGTCACGCCCGGACATCAGCGTCCAGACTAGTCTGTCCCAACAGGCCTTTCCAAAGCCGACGATCGAAGACTTTCGGATGGCAAATCAGGCGATCAGAAGAGCTAAACAGCATAGTGAGTTGGGAGTTGTGTTCAAATCAATTGACCCAGACCAACTGACACTGGTATGCCACAGTGATGCAGCATTTGCTAATAGGGGAAATCATACTCAGGCTGGATATATCATTGGATTCACTCACGCATCCCTGCAAGACGGATTGGAATCAACCTGGTGTCCAGCATCATGGAAGAGTTATAAACTCCCTAGAGCAGTGAGCAGTACCATGTCAGCCGAGAGTCAAGCACTTGCCACGGCCACTGGGACCACTGAATGGCTACTTTTGATGTTGGCTGAGATTTTTGACGGCCCGCTGACAATGCGATCCTGTCGAGACGTGCTGAAAAGACGCCGACCGATCATCGTGACAGATTGCAAGAGCCTGTACGATCACTTGCATTCTCCTTCTGCCCCCACATCAATCGATGACCGCCGAACCAGTATAGATGTGGTAATAATCCGAGAGAGCTGTAGGGCCATGAATGCTTTTGTGCGGTGGGTACCCACAAATCGAATGCTCGCTGATGCACTCACCAAAAACGATGGAGATCCAATAGACTTGCTTAGATCTTGTATGAAGCGATCTTCATATCAAATCTCGCCTGAAGAAACTGTATTGAAGCATCAAGCACGAGAAAAGGAGTTTCGTAAGAATCTTCAGGCAAACTGTGCCGCTCCGTCGCCTCCAAGCCGGATAGGGGAAGAGACAGATCATGAGTGATCTGCATTTTTGGGGTTTAGAGTTCGCATTGATTGTTTGGGAAGTCACTGTGATCAGTGAAGGGAATCAATGTTCTTTTTGCCGGCTTCGACCTTAGAATGCAGCAGGTTGTGTCTGTGGCCATTTTGCATCCAGAATTTCAGTGTTCGTATCACGCCGTCTCACGACTAGACCGGGTGTTGTGTTTTGCAGTTTCCTCCCGACCTAGACATGGCCGGTGCTCCAGCTCAGTTGTCCACAGTGGCTAAGGAGCTCTTGACTAAGGTGAAGGAAGAAGGTTCGGTCCATCTGTTGCTGAACGCTTTGATGGAGCACGAAACCAGTGAATTTGAGTTTGTGCCCTCTGCTGGATACAGCCTGGACAGTGGTGCCATGAATGACTCGTCCAAGCGTCGCCTGACCGCTGACTCGAGTCAGGCCCCACATGTGCATTCCCAGAGGCCGATCGTGAAGATGAGCTCCCAGGACCAGGGATCGATTCCTCTCCCCAAGGGCATCACCTCGATGGACCATTGGGGTAAGACCTTGATCACTTCAGGAAAGCTGTCTAAGCAGAACCTCAGCTATGAAGACCTTGCAAGTTCACCTGAGACGGATTTGGTGAACTACAGTCGATGGCTCATGGCGCAGAAAGACCGCACCAACATGTCGCCACCCATCAAGGACCTCATTGCCTACTTGCTGGCTTACACGGAGTTGGCTGAGGGGTCGACTGAACGATTCCCAGACAGCACGATCCCACGGAAGTTCAAGAGTTGAACTGCCGACGATTTGAGCTGGACATGAGATGGCTGCATAGCTTCATGTGCTCCTACATCCAAAGATTATTATGAAGGCGGAGAATGTACCCGTAAGAGCCATTTTTGGAATTTGAAGATTTGAGACCAGTCATTTTGTCCACCCGTGACATGTCGTGACCCCGGAGGGACCTTCGGCTTGAGGAAAGAAGAGCCCGCTCGGCGCCCCGCGGTTGGGGCGGACACTCCGCAATATATATATAGTTCTTGTGCTTCTTGTATCATGCTATCCCTTCTCCGACCTTCTCCCAACCTCTGCCAACCTCATCACCTCCGCGCCTTCGCTGCCTCTCGGCGAACCTCCGGCACCGAGTCGTTGAGAGCCGCCTTTCTTGGGCGCAATGAGTCGGTCGACGGTCTCTTCGAAGAAAGACAACATTCCCCCGAAGGCTTTCCAGGTTCTCAAATACCCAACATCTGGCGGAGGCCCTTTTGGGTGGGTGGTGCATGATTTGTTCTGCTTTCTTCCCAAGAGGGCTGCTACCAAACCGGGCCCAAGCGGGCGTTGTCAGTTTGTCTCAAAGCAAACCCCCGGAGCGTTCCCAAGCCCGGCAGAAATGCCTGAAGAAGTGGCAGGGCGGTCTTCAGGTATGGCCTGGGTCATCGATTCGATTGCCCTTTTACAAAACCAACGCATTTGAACGGGAAAAACAATTAAAAATGACGTGATGCACGGAGTCCTGTGTTTTGGCTGTATCTTTTCTTGGGAAGCTGGCCAATGCTGTGTCCATCGATCCCAACAACTAGCTTGTGGCCAGTAGCCACGCTTGACTATGGCAGCCTTGATCGTGATTGAACAGAGGGCCAGCCTCTTCAGGGCTGAAACCACCAACTCGCTTTGAGGTATGCGCTTGTACCGGTGTCGACCCAAAGCTTGACCGAGCTTCACTCTCGACAAAGAAAAGTGTTCCATGTGGAAGATCTTCCAAAACCTAAGAATGTGGGAATCTCCATGTCCTTCCCTTCACTACTACCATGTATTCTGAGATGGAAGAGTGGAGAATCCAGCTCAGCAGCACGGCCCATGCGTCGAACTTCCTCAGATCTACCCAAAATCTTCCGTCAAGCCCCTGCGTTCAAAACATTGAACGTTGGAACGGCTAGGGCCATTATATAAATGTTCTGCCGTCGAGCCCCTGGAACTGTGGAGGACAATCTCGTCTGCTTTCTCTACGTCTCTTCAAACGACCATCCACTAGAGTAGGACCATGTACATATTAGGGCCGGGCATAGGGCATGTTCGGCATGTTCCTTCACAGGGGCCCGCTTGGCCCTGTGAAATGTGACCTGAATCACAGAGGGTCATTGCCATCCCTCCGAGTTGCTTTAAGAAGTCGACATCTCGAACCTCGGATCCCAAGATTAAAGGATATGGCAGGATATGGGAGTACTCCATGTCATGGTCAGGGTAGGTGGCAGAAACCCCGAAAATGGTGTCCGCAGATGTTTCCAGATGGCTCCATCTCAAATGACTGCTTTTGGTGGATGGTGTCGATGGTGTCTTTCGTCGAAGTCTGGCTCGGAGCACGGAATGACTCTCCAAGTCTGGCTGCCAAACGATCCAAAACAGTGCACCGAACGAGCAATGGAGTTCCTGAAACCTGAGAAGAAGAGGACAAGACACCCCATATGTCATGACATCTTTGTAAAACTCCTCTACCTTTACCTCCGACCCCACCCTCTGTCGCGGTCCAAGCAGCCAAAAGCGCGGCGGAGCCAAAAATCTGTGCCGACCACTTCTTGCTCATGGCTTCGCGGTCCTGCTAGTTCTTTGCAGTGCTCAAAGCAAGCGGAGATCTGAGACTATTCGTGACCATGCAGGTCATTTCACTATAGCGACCGGTCATATCATTATCTCTGATCCTGTCTGCTCATGCTTCCCAAAAATCACCAGCGCCTTCCACCCATCCCCACATCTCGTGCCTTCAGCCCTCGCATGACGATGGGCAACAGCAATGCCAGAGAGGCCTCGGGGCGACCCCGGCGACGTCCCGCGCATTCGTCCAAAGAGCCGGTGGCATTCGTCTCGAGCGTCCGCGTAGGAAAATCAGGAAGACCTTCAAGAAGCTACTAGTAACAAGGGCATTACTACTAGCAGCAAGAAGATATACTAGTTACTAGTTACATCCCAAAAAAAGGATCAAAACCGCGTCAAAGGAGTGTCGGTGTCGACAAACCCACTTCCCTCCTTCTGCTTTGACAGAATTTGACGGTCGGCTCGTGTTCTGACACCAAAGTCGCGAACTGCCAGAACCTCCAAGGCACTTCGTCGATCATGGACTTGAAGGTCGCATTGCCCATCTTGGCCAGGACTCCCTCGAGCGAAGTTGCCCAATGGAATCTCCATCGAAATGCGGGTCAGTGAACTTGAGGAACCAAGGGAGCAATGGGACTCTCACTTCCATCACAGCGACCTTCCAGAACAAGAAGCCACCAAGACCCTGCGATGTGAAGACCAGACCCTCCCCACGCACCATCCTTGAAAAATTTGAAAAAGCCTGAAGCTGCGGTACTCAGAACCTGCTCCCAACGACCTCGTCACCGCGTCTCGTCAAGACCAACCTTTCCGACCAACCCATTCTCGGCTGCCGAGACGTCGGCTCTCGGCCGTCAACGCCCGCGGGGCAACTCCCGCGCCTGCGTGTGCTTCTGATTCGTGGGCTCCGCCAGAGCCTGCACCAGGTCCGGAGACAGCGCCTCTCCGCGGGGCGGCGGTGCCAGTCCGGTTCAGGCTGAGGGGCTGAGGAACTGAGGGACTGAGATGAGGCATTCCCCACAACGCCTTCTTCTTTAAACCAGACTGCCTTCTTAGCCGCCAGAAGTAAAAGAATGCGCGCTTTTGGACATGTTGCAATGCACTCTGGGTACATTCTTCCTTCTTTGATTCATCAGTGGGTTGTGCAGAGCCAGGTCTGCTACCGCCAGCGAACACGGATTAAGATCGCCCAAGACAACAACACACCAAGCTTCACAGGGAGTGCAATCTACTAATCTGCTACTTGATCGTTTTCCCATGTTTTCTCAATCTGACCTCCAAAGCTGAATGTTCTACTGTATCGTCACATGTTACAATGTTTCCACTTAAAAACACGGCATCGCGATGCGGCGATGCCAAGGCTGGGGAGACGAAGTGATGCCCGGGCTAGGCAAAGGCCGGCGTGTTTTTGTAGCTCACCTGAATTTTCCATGATGATCATGATGTGTACACTAGCAGAGGCTCAAGCTGTGAGCACCCTTCAAAAAAGCCTCCACCTCATCAGTCCATGAGTCCCAAACGCACACCAATTACCAACTTCCAATTACCACAAGCTCCCCTGAGTTCACCCCAAGTCGCATCAAAACGGTGTCTAGTGTGTGTCTAGTGTCCCCACAGTTGGTGTCCATCTGTGTCCCGACGGGTACAGAGTCGGCCAGCATGTCCAGTCGGCCAGCACTCGTCGACGAGTGACGAGCGCCTTGATCTCCGGGCTCCCAACAAAGGCACCGATCTCCTTAAGAACGGCACCTGAGCGGGAGGCCAAACAGGCCAAACAGCAACAGTTTGAGCCATCTGCTTGGTTTTGCTGTTTGGAGTTGCTTCAGGAAAAAGTATTCCGTGGAAAAGAAAACACAGTACACCGATGCTTGTTGCTTCGAAGCTGAAGGTTTTGCTCGTCCCAAGGAAAACACTCCTTTCACTCCCCACCGCGTTCCGCGCGCCTGTGGCGGATCGAATCTCGGCACGCACTTCCAAAGCCGCCTGGCACCGGAGGGCTTCCGCAGCGTCTCCGGTGGTCGCCCGTGAGCCCTCCGTTTGGTCCCAGCCCTCGGGATCCAAAGAGTTGGCCACAACTAGTGCAAGTGGAAATCACGCGTCATAGTGCTAGACCAATTACATGAACCTGAACCGACTGGGGGTCTGTGACACCAGTTGCCTCTCCGAAACGTGGTCTTCCCATGCAGTTCTTGTTTTGTTTGAATGGGTCGGGACTCAGAGACTGGTTGAGGAGATCCGCCTGGTGACTCCTGACATGGAATTACTGTAACTAAAGCTTCTCACTTCGTCAGACTGAGTCACCAACTCTATAGTGGTCCCCAAATAGATAGAACGGTTTCCAATACATTTTTAGTGGGCAGGGATACTTAGGGGTCCGAAAAAGCACATCCCTACTTTGTCCTGGTGGTGCACTCAGATTTTTTCTGCGCCCGGCTGTTCCTAGTAGTAAGGCCAGGAACTACTAGTAGCTTCTTCTTACTAGTAGCGATGCCCTTGTTACTAGTAGCTTCTTGTTCCTTGTAGTAAGGCCAGGAGCTACTAGTGGCGTCCTTGCTCCTAGTAGCGATGCCCGTTCTTACTGGTAGCTTCCTGTGCCTCGGCCAACTTGGAGACAATGGTTGGAAGGCAATTGGCCAATTGGAGAGAAGTGCTGCCCTCCATCTGCTTCAAAGCCGGCAGCAGGACCTGGCTGTACACGGGTGACCGTGGCTGTATAATTCTCGTCTCTACTGGGTCTCGCGCCTGAATGCATCCGGCTTTCACCTTCCATTTCTTGTCCTCAATGCCCGCCAAGAGCGGTGGCATCACTCGATCCTGACCGTAGAGCGAGTTCGAAATCCGTTTTTGGGCGGTCTGGTCCGGCTGAAAAATAATGTGTAAACTGTTTAACAATCAAAGGAACCCGACTCCTGTGGCCATGGTCTGGAATTTGCTTCACAATGTTAGTTCTGCTAAGAAATAGAACTATAGTTACTGGGTGTACATGTAACATGCATAGTTCAAAGAAACTTCGAATCACACTCGTAACCAGTCGGAAATAGCAATTGTATGTAGTGCACCTGCCCGGGCAACAATGGATTGGAAGGAAAATAACAAACAAAGTAAGAGAAAAGCTTGAGCATGTGCCGCAGGAATGAGACAGGACAGCCCCACACTCAGGTGCGCCTGCGAATT